CTGAGAGATTGAAGCAGAGAAAGAGGAGAGGAGAGCTTGATAGGTTAGGAGGTCGTCACGGTGTTTGGATTTCCACCATTTCCGCTCTGCTGCCCTAAGGACGGTTCTATTAGCACGCAGTGCATCATTTAGCCAGGGAGCCGGAGGGGACTGACGAGCCTGCTGAGATGTCAGAGGACAGAGCGAGTCCAGAGTGGATGAGAGAGTAGAGAGGAGTGTTTCTGCAGCAGAGTTTGGAGGCAGTAGTTGGAACGAATCAGAGGAAGGGAGGGCTGAGAGCACCGACGAAGCAAAGGTAGAGGGAGAGAGGGAGCGAAGGTTACGGCGGACAAGTGTAGGATGGGAAGAGATTAGTTTGTTATGTTTGGAAAGGGATAGAGAGAATGAAATGAAGAAGTGATCGGATGTGTGGAGCGGGTTTACAGAGAGGTTAGAAGTAGCGCAGTTCCTTGAGAATATGAGATCAAGGACATTGCCAGCATTCATCACAATAACATCAACGCTACAGACAATTATGCACAAAGAAAAGGTCCATCAGAACACATGCACAGTCACAGAAGTTGTTCATTGGTGTATTTACATACATACTGTACATACTGAACACATAAACAAACTATCCCAAAGGAGTAAATTCCCTCAGTGTAACATAGTCTGGTGGAACAGTCCCACTTTCTCCCTAAACAAAAACTCATGTATGAATGATCAAGTTAACAGAAAATTGTAAATATAAACTGCACAGTGAACAAAATAAACACATTCTGATGCACCTTGTGATTGGCTACTGTTTTGGCAGCACTCTTCAAATTTCCATCTCTACTTTGCACACTCCTGGAGTATGACCGGAAATATGACCCATACAAAAACGCTTTGTCATAGTCCAAAGGGAATTCAAATGTCACCTGAGGGACTTATATGCCCCTGTTTTATGCTACGTTGTAGTTCCTATAATGTGGTCATTTGTGTGTTGGTTTATTGAAGTACAGTATAGTCAAGATTTGACAATACTAGGTCTGAAAATATACATAAACGTTTAATACTGAACAATACTTTTTTAATACCTTACTTTTGAAATTAAGAACACGTTTTCTGCTTTTTTTTCTTTATTGAACTAACAGGATCAAACTTCTCAAGCATCATACGAGAGCTTTGCCTACTAAAAGGTCTACAATTGGGTAAAATGTTGATGCAAATCCTGAGTTACTGTATCTTAACAAAGAACACATAAACAACACCTTTCATTTTAGATACTCAATAGCTATGGACACATTTAAATACCAAAAATCCCTTACAATGGCTGTTCCTCCATTATATTCCTCAGTCAAAATGTTCCAGATCAACTGTGGAAACAAGTTTGATTGTGCTGAATAAACATTATAATAATGCGCTTTGGTCTAATCCTTCCTGTAGTGTCATGTGAAACCAGCAGAGGTCAGAACATAACATACACAGTCTCCATGGGTGAAATACTCTTTGTGAATGGTGCTCATTGTACAGTGTGTCTGAATGTAAACTATGCACACCATGTCTCCCTCTCTATGGATGTAGGGAGTGTGTTTTCCCAGTACAAAGATTTCATCCAACTGGTAATCGTCTTAACAACTGAAATTAACAGCAATTAACATTTCATATGCCACACCGGACAGCTCAGCCCATAGCCTGCCCTACAGCATAAACATCACACATAAACAAAAACACAAAATACAACACACACAATGTCTATATCAAAGCTTGCACAAGACAGGGAGGAAGGTTATGTTATGTTTCTAACTAGGAACAATTTGAGGAAAAATAAATACAACAAATATTTTTAGAAAAGACAGATGAGAGAAAAGTACGCAGCATTTTACCACCTCACTGTGTCTGGCCACAGCTCCCCATCAACCTGCAGAAGAGTCATCCATATATCCATTGTTGTTTTTTATAAATGTCTTACATGAAGCCTTTTTCTAGTACTTACATCCTGAATTATGAGTCAACAATAAAGCAGTTTGGTGTTTATGTATATACATATAAATATATTTAGAGAACTGTGTGCAGTGTTTTGCAAAAAGTGCCAAGTTGAATTGCAAATTGGATGCATAGCTGAAAATGTGTTTTTGAGATTTGAGTAAAACCATACATCTTCAGGGTTGAAAATCGACTTTTGACACACACACACACACACACACACACACACACACACACACACACACACACACACACACACACACACACACACACACACACACACACACACACACACACACACACACACACACACACACACACACACACACACACACACACACACACACACGAGATGTAGCAGGTGCAGTCACAGTATGTGCACTCATATAATGGAAACATGTGCCCTATAACTTGTTATTTTTGGCATCTTGCCTTCTCAGTCAATAAGCATGACATCACATGAGAACATATTTTCTCCTCATTGGGGTCTCAAATGTTTTGGCACTCTAGTCACTCTGATGCAACCCTTCCAAACTGTTTCTCTTACTTGTAGACCATGACTGTAGAGCACCTGTAACGTCGCTCTCTAATTTCTAATACAATATTTGCATGACTCCTTCACCCCGCAATGTTCCTATATGTTAAAGCTTTCCTTTTTATTTTTGTGAGTCACCATTCTGTGGTAGCCTGAATTGTTCAACACTTTTTTTTTATTAGGTCTAGTTTCCCCCAAAAAGTTTAGTTTCCATTTTTTAAGGTTTCAATATGTCTTTATCCCTATTTTCGTATGAATTTGCAGTGTAATACACTTTGTTGCAGTCTCACAATGATGCAACCCTTCCAAACATATTACTCTTACTATAGAAAGTAGACCATGACCTAACTATTCAGTGCCTGTACCGTTGCTCTCTGACATGAAACAAGTTTTTCCTGAGTCTGTCACCCCTTATGCAACAGTTTGCCTATAAATGTTAACTCTTTCCTCTTTTTTGTCTTTTCCATAATGCTCAGCAATGGTTTATAATTGTTCTTTTGGACACTTTTCAAACAACTTCTCAGAAGGTGTGAGTTTCTAAATGACATCCTCTGAATCATCATTGTAGCCTCAATGTTTGAAACATTTCTTTTAACTAGTCATGTTCCAGATATTCTAACACTATTTTCCATTAATTAAAAAGAGTTTAATTATGTATTTTCTTGTCTTTATCCCTATTTTCTTATTATTTGGCCTTGTAATACACTTTCTTTCATGTCAATAGACAAACAAGAAGGGAACCTAGCAACAAAGCTCATTAAAAACAAAACCAACCAAAGCATGAGCTATAATGCTTTTTACCAAAACTGATAGGTCAAGCTGCCACATTGCAACATTTAGAAAGGTAAATACTTCCTAACAGCAACTTTGAGTTCTACCATCTCTATGTTAGACATCAGTATTGCGCTCCCAGGCCAGCGAAGAGATATAATCCCTCCACCTGGTCCTAGGTCTACCCCTTGGTCTCTTCCCAGCTGGACGTGCCTGGAACACCTCCCTAGGGAGGCGCCCAGGTGACATCCTTACTAGGTGCCCGAACCACCTCAACTGGCTCCTTTCGACGCGAAGGAGGAGCGGTTCAACTCCGAGTCCCTCCCGGATGACCGAACTTCTCACCTTATCCCTAAGGGAGACACCAGCCACCCTGCGGAGAAAACCCATCTCGGCCGCTTGTATCCGCGATCTCGTTCTTTCGGTCATGACCCATCCGTCATGACCATAGGTGAGGGTAGGAACGAAAATGGCCCGGAAGACAGAGAGCTTTGCCTTCTGGCTCAGCTCCCCTTTCGTCACAACGGTGCGGTAAAGCGACTGCAGTACCACTCCCGCTGCTCCGATTTTCCGGCCCATCTCACGCTCCATTGTTCCCTCACTCGAGAACAAGACCCCGAGATACTTGAACTCCTTCACTTGGGGTAAGGACTCATTCCCTACTTGGAGTGGACAGTCCATCGGTTTCTTGCTGAGAACCATGGCCTCAGATTTAGAGGTGCTGATCCTCATCCCAGCCGCTTCACACTCGGTTGCGAACCGATCCAGTGAGTGCTGAAGGTCGCAGACCGATGAAGCCATTAGAACAACAGTTTTACTATAAATGTAAATGTTTTCTTCTTTTTGGTAAGTTTCAAGATGTCATCCTTCGACTCATCACCATGTTGTGGTAGCTTGAATGTTTCAAACTTTTATTTAACAAACAAAACCAACCAAAGCATGAGCTATAATGCTATTTACCATCCACATCATCATTTAAAAAGGTTAATAATTCCTTACCGCAACTTCTTTAGTTCCTCGCTTACAAAACCTTTATTTAAGTTATACCATCTCTATGTTAGATAGAATTTGTGCACTCTGATGCAACCCTTCCAAACTGTTTCTCTTACTATAGATAGTAGACCATGACTGTACTATTCAGCACCTGTAACGTCGCTGTCTGATTTCTAATACAATATTTGCATGACTTCTTTACCCTGCTTTCCTCTTTATTTTGTGAGTCACCATTCTCTGGTAGCCTGAATGTTTCAAACCTTTCTTTTATTTGGTCTAGGCCCAAAACTGTTTTCCTTCAACTTTTTAAGGTTTGAATATGTATTTTATTGTCTTTATCCCAATTACGTATTCATTGACAGTGTAATACACTTTGTTGCAGTCTCACAAACAATGATACAACCCTTCCAAATTATAACTCTTACTATAGAAAGTAGACCACAACCTTACTATTCAGTGCCTGTTTCATCGCTCTCTGATTTCTAAAACAAGTTCTCATTCATAACACTCCGTTCGATGTCTCACTATGGGATGCGCCTCATCGCGGAGCAAACAGAAGCATCAATCTCATTACGCCAATCCTGATTGGCTGGTGATCTTGACGTCAGCATCAGGGAATCCACCCCCTATAAGTAGCTTGCGCTACGTCGCATGCGTCATTCAAACACCTCTTCTCGCTTCAGAGCACATCTCGATGGTAGCCGGGCTAGCTTAACAGTCCACAGACTGAACCCAAAGCTAACTTTCGGTCGACGGGCGCTCACCGGCTACTCTTCTGCTTCGCAAGAAGACTGTTAATGCTAACACACCAGTTAGTATTACAATCGACCTCGCCGTTTCTTTCCTCGGAAATTAAGGTAAGTGTAGCTCTTTTCACGACACAGACACAGGTCGGTTCTTTAAAACGGGCGTTTATTTCTTGGGAGTTTTCATCCTGTAGCCTTCCCTCTTCCGTTACGCCGTGAGAACTCCGTGTTACTCCTTTTAATTAAGGCAACTTCGTTACGTCATTTACACTCCCACCAAATCACTCATTAACTCAAATGTGGGATTTCGTTCAAACAAAATGCAAAGAAACAGTCAAGTGTTTTCAGTGTGTATGACTATACTCTCATGTATGGGACTTAAGTGGCCTGAAGTAAGGTGACTACCTTATGAATAGGTCTTTCGAGGTAGACTAGTCTAGTGTGTGGTTTTCCTTTATCAAGTGTAGTGTTACTGACTAGTAACTTTAGCTTTCGCACCAAGCCGTCTGTTCCAGGGTGAGTTTCTACAACTCTGGCGAGCTTCCACTCATTTCTTGGTAGGTTGTCGTCTCGCAGAATGACAATGTCATCTACTTGTGAATTTTGTGATGCCTTTGGCCATTTCTGCCGCTGTTGGAGGTTTAGCAGGTATTCTCGTTTCCATCTTCGCCAGAACTCATTGGCTAAGAACTGCACTCTTCTCCATCTCTTGCGCAGATAGAGGTCTTCTTTACAGAACTCTCCAGGAGGGGGCAGAATAACTGATGACTTCATGGTTATTATGTGGTTGGGAGTGAGAGGCTCTGGACCAGTAGGATCGTGGAGGTGTTCAACACTTAACGGCCTGCTGTTAATTATTGCCATTGTTTCGTAAAGGAATGTTCTCAGAGTTGTGGTGTCTAGTCTGCTTGCAGACTTGTCTAACATGACTGTCAGAATGCTTCGAATCGTTCTGATTTGGCGTTCCCAGACTCCTCCCATATGGCTTGCTGAAGGAACATTCATTACAAATTCGCAACCAATTGCTCGTTGACGTTCCTGATCCATTCCTTTGAGCAACTCAGAAAACTCCCTCTTGGCACCAATGAAGTTTGTTCCTTGGTCTCATCGTAATTGGCGCACAGGTCCTCTGATTGCTACCATTGTTCGAAGTGCATTCATGAAGGCATCTGTCGTCAAATCGTCTAGCGTCTCTATATGCACCGCTCTGGAGCATAGGCAGGTAAACAACAATCCATATCGTTTTACCTCCTTTCTTCCTTCCTTCACAATAAAGGGACCAAAACAATCTATACCGCAGTAAGTAAACGGAGGGGATGTCTCGGTTCTGTCCTCTGGCAGATCGGCCATTTGTTGAGTCTCTGTGGTTCTTCTGTATTTCCTACATTTTACACACTTGTAGATGTGTGATGAAACTACATTTCCACATCCCAGGATCCATATTCCATTCGCACGTACCTCATTCATTGTCATGCCTCTTCCTTGGGGATGTACACGCTCATGATGATGTTTGACGAGCAAGGTGGACACATGAGCTTTCTTCGGAAGTATTGCAGGATGTTTTATGTCATGATGTAAGGCTGATTGAGATAGCCGTCCTCCCACCCTAAGAACATTGTTCTTGTCCAGGAAGGCATTCAACAGGTGTAGCTTGTTGTGCTTGTTCAAGGTGCTTCCCTTTTGAAGCTGAACTGTTTTAATTTCTTCGGTGAAGGCCTCTTCTTGCACCAGCTTGATAATAAAGATTTCTGCTTCTCTTCTTTCTGCAAGGTTAGTTGCTTCATTAGTTCTTGGCTGAAGTCTCCTGGATTCTCTGACAAATCTCTTGAGTCTTGCGACAGCTCTCACTGTCCTGAACCAGTCAAAAAACTTAGAGAAGCGGTTCAACAGTGAATTTTCTTCCTGTGTGAACATGAACTTTGCGAAGTTCAGGATCGTCTGTTTCCACTGCTCTCACCTTCTCTTCACATGGAAGGTTCAGCTGGAAAAGAAAGTCAGGTCCTTTTAGCCAGTTAGACTCTTTGAGCTGAACTGCGCTCAGCCCCCTTGAGGCGTAGTCGGCTGGGTTATTTTCAGAGCTAACATGTCGCCATTGTTCAGGGTTGGTGCTAGATCTTATGCGCTGGATACGGTTGGCAACAAACGTGTGGAACCTCTTGGCATCGTTGTTCAAGTAACCAAGGACTACCTTTGAGTCAGTCCAGTAATATTCTTGCAGGTTTTCAATCTCCAGCTCGCGTTTGATGACATCACCATTGCGTACTGAAGTCACAGCTGACGACAACTCAAGTCTTGGGATAGTCGTTAGTTTGGTAGGGGCTACTCTTGCCTTCCCCATGATGAGTGAGCAATTGATCTGACCTGTTTTGCTTATAGCTCTGAGGTAAGAGCATGCACCGTAGCCGTTGGTACTTGCATCTGAAAAGTTGTGCAGTTCATATTGTTTGACCTCGCCAAAGCTTGATGGAAGATAACATCTTGGAATTTTTAGGGTTGCCAAGTGAGATAAACCTCTAAGCCATGACTCCCATTGTGGCAGGATATGAGCAGGGAGAGCTTCGTCCCAGCTCATTCTGTCCCGACATAGAGTCTGAAGGATTTGTTTTCCGAGGAGCACAAAGGGGGCCACAAATCCAAGAGGATCAAAGAGAGAGGCAACGGTTGAGAGAACTCCCCTCCTTGTCAGTGGATTTTCCTTAACCACAACTCTGAATTGGAATTCATCTGCTTCAACACACCACTGAACTCCAAGTGCTCGCTCAATATGAAGTTCTCCAAGAGTTAAGTCTAGATCCTTGTTTTTGGCAAGTTCTTCAGGTGGTATTGCGGCAATCACCTCTTTGTCGTTGGATACGAACTTGTGAAGATGAAGATTTCCTGTTCTGCACAAGGCTCTTGACTCTTCAACAAGACAGATGGCTTCAGCCGGTGACCTTACACTTATTAGGCCATCGTCCACATAGAAGCTTCTCTGTATAAACTTGATGGACTCTTCACTGAACTTCCCATGACCCTGGGATGCCAGGTGTTTGAATCCAAAGTTGGAACAGCCAGGGGATGACGCTGCTCCAAACAGGTGCACTCTCATCCTATATACTGAAGGTTTTGAGTCCAGGTCGCCTTTGTCCCACCAGAGAAACCTTAGGTAGTTTTGATGTTCCTTTGTGACATGAAATTGGTGGAACATCCGTTCAACATCGCACATTATGGCTACCGGACCCTTTCTAAATCTACATAACACTCCAATGAGCGTGTTTGTCAGGTCGGGACCAGTCAAGAGATGATCGTTTAGAGAGGTTTCTTGGAAACGTGCTGAACAATCAAAAACCACACGGATTTTTCCGGGTTTGTGGGGGTGGTAGACTCCGTGGTGCGGAATGTACCATGATATTTGGTTGTTGAGTTCAGACTCTGGAACCTTCTCAGCATCGCCTCTGGTTATTATGTCATTCATGAAATGAACGTAATCCTTGTAATACTGTTCATTTCTCCTTAGTCGTCTTTCCAATGAGATCAGTCTGTGAACTGCAGATCGTTTATTGTCAGGGAGATGAGGGTTATCCGATTTGAAGGGAAGAGGGAGTTCATAGTGGCCGTCTTCTCTTTGGCGGATACCTTCCTTCACTTTAGACAAGAAGAGAAGGTCCTCCTGAGACACTTGGTTATCATCTGTAGTGTGTTCAGTGAAATCCGACTCGAGAACCTTGAGTATGTCTGTTGGATGGATCTCTTTGACTTGAGTTCTGCACACAAAGTGTACTTCTCTCTTCAGCTGAATTGCTGGCTGGACAGCAGGTGTTACTTGTCGCACTACGATTCTGTGACTAGTTCCTATTGTGTCACAGTAATCCTTTGCTGGATTCGAGCAACCGACGATACTCCAGCCAAGATCCGTCCGCTGTGCATATGGATAATTGTCTTTACCGGATAAGATCTCTCTTGGAAGAAGGGCTTGCTGACAGTTATATCCGATTAAAAGACCTACTTCGCAATCCAATGGTGGTGGAATCTTGTCTGCCAACTGTTCCAAATGTGGCCATTTTAGAGCTGTCTCTGAGGTAGGAATGTGTGACCTGTCAACTGGAATGAACTCTCTTGTGAAAAGAGGTGGCAAAGGAATCATTTTTTCCAGGTCGTATCCCCTCACTTGAAGTTCTGTCAGTTTCTGACAGGGTATGACTGTTGACTTTGTTGACATTGTAGATAGCCGCAAACGAACATTTTCTTTGTTTGTGTCAAGATTTTGGGCCACTTCATCTAGAATGAAAGTCGTGTCACTCTGTGTGTCCAAGAGTGCGTAGACAAGAACTTCTTGTTCTGGCTGTTTTGTGGATGAGACCCAGACTGGTATGATTGCGGACGTTTGTGTGCTTGGGCCTTCTTGTATGACTCTGTTGGTGGTTGCAGCGATTTCTTTGGTGTCTGTTTTGTCCTTTGAGATGTCGTCTCCATTAAAAGGTTGTTGACATTTTGCCTTTGAACTTGTCGTCATGCAAACACGTTGGATGTCTCCTCTGACACTTTTCACATGTGCTTTTGTCATTGCACGCCTTTGACTGATGACCAGTATGCAAACATCCAAAGCATAGCCTTTCTGCATACACAAACTTGATGCGATCTTCAACTGTCTTTTCTACAAACTTTCTACACTTTGGGAGGACATGTCCTGTTCCTTTGCAGAAGATGCATGTTGGGATGCTACTTTGTGTTGTGTTTGTGGACAGTGTCTTTGCTTGAATAGTTTGGCTTCTTGGATTCTTTGTTTTTTCACTTTCGACACTCCTGATAGCTTGTATCGAGGATATGGGATCACATGCGAGATCTGCTTCCTTTGATATGAAATCTACAAACACTTTGAATGGTGGGTAACCACCATTTGCCTCCATTGCTTTTCGGTTCCAGCCGGATACCAACCAATCTGGCAGTTTCATCAATATTTGTTGACTCTCGTTGCAGTCATTCAGTACTTCTAATGTCTTAATGTGGGGCATTGCAGCCTCACAGCTCTTAAGGAAGTCTGCAAATTCTCTTAGTTCGCTGCCATCTTTAGAGCTTATCTTTGGCCATCCATGTAGCTTGTCTCTGAAGGACTTCCCAATAATAAATGGGTCTCCAAAACGTTTTTCTAACAGCTGCCAGGCAGAGTCATATGCTGCTTCGGTGCCTAACAGGAAGAATCCTTCTACTGCTTTCTTTGCAGCACCTCCTATATACTTTCTAAGGTAATACAGTTTTTCATTCTTTGGAATGTTTTTCCTGTCTATTAAAGTTTCAAAGGATAGTTGCCAGTCTTTGAATTTCAAAGGATCTCCTGTGAATAATGCAGGCTCTGGTGTTGGAAGGTGATTTGCAAAGAATAGATTTCAAAATACTGCTGCTGGTTTATAAAGCACTGAATGGTTTAGGCCCAAAATACATTTCTGACCTCCTGCTAAATTATGAACCATCCAGATCTCTCAGGTCTTCAGGGACTGGTCAGCTTTCTGTCCCCAGAGTCAGAACTAAACATGGTAAAGCAGCGTTCAGTTATTATGCTCCAAATATCTGGAACAAACTCCCAGAAACCTGCAGGTCCGCTGCAACTCTTACTACTTTTAAATCCAGGCTGAAGACTTTTCTTTTTGTCGCTGCTTTTAATTGAACTATTCATATCTTAGACTGCACTGTAACTTTTATCCATGTACTTTTTTCTTTTAATGTTTAATTGCACTGTAACTTTTATCCATGTATTTTTTCTTTTAATGTTTATTTTATTAGCTTTTCTTTTTAATGACTGATTTTAAATGCCATTTTCTTAATCTCTTTCATTTTTTGTAAAGCACTTTGAATTGCCTTGTGTTGAAAAGTGCTATATAAATAAACTTGCCTTGCCTTGCCTTGCCTATTGCTTCTGCTAGTATTTTAACCAAGTCAGCACTATTCTGCATCTGAGCTAAGGGCATTGAGGTTGGTAGAGCTTGTTGTACTTGCTGTGGACTGTGGAGACTATAAGCTTGACTTGCAGGTTGTAGAGGTTGAGGTATGAACGGAGGACTTGAAGCATTGATGACTTGTGCTGTTACTGGCTGAGACTGATAAACGAATGGTGGAGTTGTGGAGTACAGAGCTTGGGTTTCTCTAGCTGGTTCAACATCATACAGTGAGTCGATTGCTTCATAATTTTCTTCCATTCGATTGTACACCTTGACTCGAGCTCTTGCGGCTTTCAGCTTTTTAACCTCTTCTAGGCGTTCAAGCTTTCTGCGTTTTTCTTGCATTGCCTGAAGTCTGGCTTGCCTTTCGAACTCAAATTGTGCCATCTGTTTTTTATCTTCAGTCTCCAGCCTTTGAAGTTCTGTTGCTTCCTTTTCTTGTTCACCTAAAACTGCTAGGACTTCCTGAGATGCAGTGGCTTCAGCTGCAGCTTCAAATCTTTTGAGAAGACTAGAATGAGCGGAGCTACACTTTGATCGACAAGACAGTGGAGATAATGAAGAGTCAGTTGAGTTTAGAACAGATCCAACATCGGGCCAAGATTCTTCCTTTAAGTCTGCTGTATTCTCTTCAAGCTGTCTCTCTGCCTTTCGAATAATGAATCCTGAGAGTGATATGCATGTATCAACTCTGCGTCGCAGGTTCGGTTCAGGAGTATGTATGAGACGTAACTCTTCATACAAGGCTTTTACATCTGAGCAAGAGCTTTTTATATTTGCAATAAGCTCTCTCAATTCATCCTTGGAGGCGTCATCATTCAGTATTTCTTTGCCTATTCTCACATGGTACCTCCATTTCTCATAGACGATTCTGTAGTGATGTTGTACACTTTTCAACTTTTCAGCTTGGAGTTCTTTTCCTTTTTCTGTTAGTGTTCGATTTCTTTCACTTCTTCGTAGCTCTTCCACTTCTTCTGCCAACTCTGTTTCTGTTGTTTCAAGTTGAGCAGATGATTTGGCATTTTTGTGGCAGGTCTCAGTCCCTGCTTCTGACATTTTGAGATGACTTAATAACTTATAACCGACTGTAATAGAGCATGTGTAACTACTAAGCTTGAATTGGATCTCTGAATGTATACATAAGTAATCAGTGAGGTTATCAAATGTATGCACTCATTAACAAGTTTAACTTGACCTCAGCTTTACAACAAAATAACAATAACAAGAATAAGATTTAGCTTGTTACTAATAAACCTTAAATGTAGTGAAATATGCTTAGAAAGGCATTACATCACTTATACTTTACAAAGAAAATGTTGTTGTCAGTGGAATGACGCTTTAAAGCTCAAGTAAATTGTCCTTTAAGTGTAATACCTTTCATAAAATGTGAAAACGTTCTTCTTTTTTAACTTGAACTTATAAATAATATATTCTTTCTTTAATATTAACTTATAATTTCTTTACTTTCTTATATGATTAATTTTCGTCTTTAAACCCTTTGACATGTACCATTCATGAACACCAACACATTAGCTTCATCACCAGCATAGGCTTAGCATAGATGATAGACCTGAGTCCTTATTTGCAATTTCCAGATTAACCACTTCTCACACCACCTTTAACTTGAAGGATGTGGTAGAGCACTTCCTGGCTTTATCCTGAAATGTTGCGACTTTGACAGTCTAATCACAGTAGTTTGCGGTCGTCATGCCGACAGTGCACCGCTGGCGTTGCTTCTCTGATGTGCTGGATGGTCCTTGAACGCAGCGTCGTCTCTCGCTCCAGTCTCGTTGTCTTTCCCACCCGCGCTGAGCAGGCGAGTTCTCACTGTAGCTCTTTTCACGCAACCCTGTCTCCTAAAAATTACGTTCCCACAGAACTAAACTGCATTCTGAATTACGTTTAGCTAGAAACGTATTTACTCCCACGTTACGTTCGTTATGAACGTATCTCAAATACGTTTATTTTCTACATATCTTCTAGAAACATATTTTCTCCACGTTACGTTCCTTATGAACGTATCTTAAATACGTTTATTTTCTACATATCTTTGCCATTTATTGTCTTGCTTAATAAGCAAGACAATTATAATAATGATAATAGTCATTTATAAATATCATTTTAGAGCACACCGTTGAAATCGACAATCGGGCTCGATATATGGTTAAATTAAAATCAGTAGGCGAGGCTGTCATTTCGCCAGCTGTTACTCTCATGAGCGAGGCAGAAAATAATAGTTTTAACATGACAAAAAGCTGCTGTGTCGTTTATTGCACCTCAAACATTAAAACAAATCCAGATTTACGTGTTTCTGTACTTCCTCTAAGAAGAAAGGACAGTAACAGAAGAGCTCTGTGGCTTCAGGCTTGATCGCTGTTCAAATGACAGCGTTGGTTTCCCCAAAAGTGGGCGTGGCTGTAAAGTGAAGTAGATTTTACTCTCATCTATTATTCAAAACCATTCTATTTATTCTAACGTAAATTACATGCCAGTGTTTTATCTTTTTATTTATTTGTTTTTATTTTAAATCGTATAATGTCGGACTTTTTTTGTCGTCTTTGAGGAAAATAAATGGGGTTTAGAGCCTCAAAATACTGAAATCTGTATTTTTTAAAATCTTTTCCTTCTAATTTGTTATTCTTTTCTAAATAACACACTGTTATTTACTCAACAATAACACACAATTATCCTTGTTTTTATTTATTCGTTTAATTCTATAATCTTGGGCTTTTTAGCCGTAAATAAAGTCACCAGAAACAGACGGGACATTTCGAGATTTAGGATGGCCGAAGAGACTACACTACCCATAATCCCCAGATCCCCAGCTATCGTTTGGGACTACAGTCCCGTTGACAAACCCCGTGATGTTGGAGTGGCAGTGCGCCAAGGTTACGCCGAGCGTCAAGCTCTTTGAAATGGAACGAAACCACGGCAGACTATTCAAAACTGGACTCGAACGCCCCCCGAGAACTACACATGCATTGTGTTTCGCAACATGTTCTCTATGGCACGTCTCTACTGGGAATTGTAGTTTTAAAAGACGTTTTTCCCAAATTTAGAAGTTGACAGTATTAAACTGTGTACAGCCCTGGAGGTTTAGGCGATAGGAAACACATTGGTGTGTACACATTTAAAACATGTAATTACTAAATGGGTGAAAATCGCTTGTATCCATAATGGGCAGCATTAATATATACCCACACGACAACTCATTGTTACTTTGTAATTCTACTCCACTACAATTCAGAGGTTAACCTGGTATTTTTACTTCACTACATTTAGTTTAGTTACTTTGCAGATTCTGATTAATGATGTGGAATATAAACAACCCTTAAAGCAGACTTTAGTTACACCTGAGTAAAATTCAGGGAAGGTGATTGTCAAGTGCCAACAATCAGGAGAGATATTTGATAGTTGGTGCTTGAGAAGACTAAACATTTATCTGCAGATCTTTATAAAGTATTCATTACTCGTTATTCTCTACTAATAGTTAATTAAAAACTGTATAATGGCTATTTTGCACATCCCTTTCAAGATTTCAAGATTTTCTAAGGTGTATTGATCTTATACACAACTTGGGTCGCAGGTTCCTCAACAGCGCATTACAAGACATCTATCAATATATGTGTATACCTCCACCATTAAACTGTCATATTCTGCACATTTCTTATACTATCTACATACATAAGAGTATAATTAATGTGTATAATATCAGTTAAAATAAGTGCTTCAACATAGTTAACATTGCAGGAAAGCAATATTTTAGACGTTAAGTACTTTGTCAGGCTTAATATTCATCGGTAGATAGATACCCCCAAAGTTTTTTTCTTGTTTAAAAGAAGACCTTAACCTAAAGTATTCTTTAATGTGTTAATAAAGGTTAATTCGTTTTTCTGTTTTGCACATCCTCCTATTAATATCTTTGTACATCCGGCACTAAACTGTTTTATTGTAGAGATCACTTAGTATCTTCTTGAATTTTTATATTCTATATTTCTATCATTGACCTTCTACTTTCCCCCTATGAAAGTATGTACTCTTAATATTGTTTTAATCAAAAAAACATTATTCAACAAAAATAATTTAATAACATGCTTTAACCACTAGGCGGTGCACACAAGGTACACACAGCATACTAATAATAACTTTGTATTATTAGTGTAGAACACTTATAACATCTAAAGATGTGTAGTTTTATTCATGTTTTTACATAATTTTACAGGATATTGCTATACTATTTCTCTTGTTTTACTTCTACACATTAATATCTGATTTGTAAAACATCACAGACAGAAAGGCATATCCGTCATTTAATGGTAAGCTATTGAAATTGTGATTCCATAGATGTGTCTGCCATCACCCAAAACCCC